TGCTCAGCATACAGGATGAATAAGTATGGTGAAAGAATACAACCCTGTCGTACACCATTTCTTAATTTTAAACTATTAAGTGTTCCCATCTGTTTGAACTGACTCTTGGTCCATGTACAGATCCTCAAGAGCACAATTAAGTGTTCTGGAATACCCATACTTTGCAGTGTTGTCCATAGCTTGTCATGATCCACACAACTGAAAGACTTTGCGTAGTCAATAAAGCACAGGTAAACATCTTTCTGGTATTCTCTGCTTTCAGCCAAGATCCATTGCACTTCAGCAACGATATCCCTCGTTCCATGGCCTCTTCTGAATCTGGCTTGAACCTCTGGAATGTCTGTTAATGTTTGCTTGCAGCCATTTCTGCATTACCTTGAGTGAAACTTTACTCACATGGGATATCAAATAGATTGTCTGATGATTTCAGCATTCTGTCCAGTCACCTCTTTGGAATGGGCACAAATATGGATCTCTTCCAATTAGTCGGCCAGATAGGTGTCTTCCAAATTTCTTGGCAGAGATGAGTGAGTGCCTAACTCTCTTGAAATATTTCCATTTTTATTCCATCTGTTCCTGTTGCCTTGTTCTTTGCCAATTCCTTCAATGCACCTTGGACTGCCTCCTTCAGGATCATTGGCTGTTGATCATATGCTATCTCTTGAAACGGTTGAACATTAAGCATTTCCTTTTGGTACAATGACTGTGTATTACTTCCATCTTCTCTTGATGCTTTCTTCATCATTCAGTAATTGGCCCTGAGAATCCTTCAAATAACGAAAGTCACTTGTAGAAAACCCTAAATGTGGTATCTGTGAGTTGCAACCAACTCAGCATCCCACAACAACTACGTGCTAATATAAATATGATATAAATATGACTATGAAACAGTCTCTTCAGAGAGCTTCAACTAATGATGAAGATAGATTAAGAAATCCCTTTAATCTAGATGAATTTATCTAAATAAAGTCCTTGAAGTATAGGCGAAATGCATCAAATCAAGTTAAATAACACTATTTTTGGTCATTTTTTAGCTAAGGCAGTCAAAGTACATTACATTCATCCCTTAGCAATATTAAATATACATAAAAAATACCTTACCTTTTGCTGCTCTTGGTGAATAAGTGTCAGATTCGGGACTTTAACCCAGAAAACTGGCTGAATTCCCTGTGTGGAGCATCCCACACATGAACTTTAGCCCGTACAACACAAGTACCCTGTTGCATACCTTTAAAGCAGCAGAATTTGCTTGTTCATCCACCACGCCTTTTTTTAGGACCTGATTCTGAGCCCGCAGCTGAAACAGAGGAAGCAGTAATTCAAGTTTCAATATAAAGCATTCACAAGTAAGGAAATCAATGATCATTGCTCTACAAGAATTACTACACTATCTTTTCACATATACATGAGAATGAAAAAAAATAGTAGCTCCAAAGAGAATAGTAAATATAATTCTGCCACTTTTCAGATGGGGAAACATCTACCCAAAGACATAAAACTAATCAACTAATCAGTGGGAAAAGTGGGATTAAAATCCACATCTCCTGACTTCCAGCCCATCATTCTTTCTGGGAAACCAAGTTACCTCCTTAAGTAAAAACTCACTACTAATATAATAATGAAGCACTGAATGTACCATTGTACTTGAAATTCAGGCATACCATTCATTTGTAAATACAAACAAGTGGATAAATTATCAAGTCAGAATTATATAGGCAATATCATGAGGGGCTCAATGAGACCTTGTGCCTAATATTGACATGGAAATACCAGCAGCAACAGTGGTCTCAGGGATAGTAAGTCTGTCATCAGGCTTCAGCTGATAAAAGTATACGATACAAGCGAGAACAGGCTCAACTTAAGAATAATAATAGCTGCTAACACGTGAATGTGCATTAGACACCAGGCACCGTCCTAAATGCTTTACATGTATTACCTCATCGAGTCCTCACAACTCTCTGGGTAAGTACTATAATGATATCTGTTTTACAGATGAGGAAGCTGAGGCACAGAGAAATGAAGTAAACACTGAGATTCAGACCCAGGAGTCTTGAGCTGTGTCACAATGCCAATGCCTTTATACTGACTACTGTTTTACAAAGCTCCAGCACTTGTCTGTCAGTTTGTCATACTGTGATGGCTTGTGTGTTGCTGTGATGCTGGAAGTTATGCTGCCAGTATTTTAACTACCAGCAGAGTCAACCCACGGTGGATAGGTTTCAGCTGAGCTTCTAGTCCACATAGACTAGGAAGAAGAAGAGGTGAACCAGTTCTGAATGTCTGATCACTGAAAACCTTATGAATGGCAGGGGAACACTGTCAAATGTAGTGCCACAAGATGAGCCTCTCAGGTTGGAGGGTCCTTAAAATATGACTAGGAAAGAGTTGCAAGCAGCAAGCAGACAAGAGTTACAAAGCAAAACTTTCAGGACCTTCATCTGCTGATATGGAAAGAGCTGCAAACATCCATTAATAATAGGAAAATGGAACGCAAGACATCTGAATCTAGGAAAACTGGATGTTGTAAAAAATGAATGGAAAGCATAAAGATGATAAACTAGGCACTGGTGAGCTGAAATAAACAGGTACTGGCAATTCTGAATTGGATGACTCATGGTTTACTACTCCGGTAAGGATAAATTGAAGAGGAATGGTGTTGCACTAATCTTAAAAAATGTCATTTCAAGATCTAGCTTAAGTACAATGCTGTCTGTGGTAGGATAAATTCATATGCCTACAAGGAAGACCAGTTAATAATACCACTATTTCAAATTTATGTACCAATTACTAAAGTCATTGATGATGAAAGTGAAAAATTCTATCAACTTCTTTAGTTTGTAATTGATCAAGCATGCAATTAAGATGTGTTGGTAATTACTGGTGATAGAAATACTAAAGTTGGAAACAAAGAGGAAAGATCAGTAGATGGAAAATATGGCCTTGATAGAAATTAGGCTGGAAATTATATGATGCGTTTTGCAAGACCAAAGACTTTAAGAACTTTTTCATTGCAATACCTTTTTTCAACGATACAAAAGGTGACTGTACACATGGATCTCACCAGAAGGAATACACAGAAATCAAATTGACTCTGTCAAGGAAAGAGAAAGGCGCTCTGGCAGCATAGTGGTTACGAGTTGGGCTGCTAACCTCAAGGTCAGCAGTTAGAAAGTACCAGCTGCTCCACAAGAGAATGGTGAGGCTTTCTGCTCCCGTAAAGATTTACAGCCTCGGAACCCTATACAGGGTCGCTATGAATTGGAACCAACTCCATGGCACATTACCACCGCCAGGGAAGAGAGCAGTTCTGATGTGGCACTGTAGGAAAATAACACTGGACTATAAGGTCAGTGTGAACCGAAAGGTCGACAGTTCAAACTCACCAGCCACTCCTCGGAAGCTCTATAGAGGGTCACTATGAGTTGGAACCGATTCAACGGTACTTAACAACAACAACAACATAGGAAGAGAGAAATCCTGATGTGGCACTGCCGAATAATGCACTGAACCACAAGGTCAATTTGAGCCACAAGGTCGGAAGTTCAAACCCTCTTCAGAAACCTTAGACAGGACCACTATGAGTTAGAACCAACTGGACAGCACTTAACAACAATGGGAAGAGAAGATGGAGAAATTCAGTAACATCAAAATAAGGCCAGGGGCCGACTGTCGAACAAACCATCAATTGCTCATATGCAAAGTTCAGACTGAAATTGAAGAAAATTAAAACAAGTCCAAGAGAGTCAATATATGACCTTGACTAGATCCCACCTAAATTTAGGGACCATCTCAAGAACATATTTGATACATTAGACACTAATGATATTAAGAACATCGTACATAAAGTAAAAGCTCATTAAAAAGACAGGAAAGAAAGAAAAGACCAAAATGGATGCCAGAAAGACTCCAAAACTTGCTTTTCGGCATAGAGAAGCTAAAGCAAATGGAAAGAAATGAGGAAGCAAAAGAGATAAACAGGAAATTTCAAAGGGAAGCTCAAGAAGACAAAGTCAAATACTACAATGAAATGTGCAAAGACCTGGAATTGGAAAAATAAAAGGGAGTAACAGGCTCAGCATTTCTCAAACTGAAAGAACAGAAGAAAAAAGTCAAGCCTCCAGTTTCAATACTGAAGGATTTTATTGGCAAAATGTTGATTTATGCAGAAAGCCCCAATAAGAAGATGGAAAGAATACACAGTTACTGTACCAAAAAGAACTAGTAGATGCTCAATCATTTCAAGATAGATCATATGATCTAGAACTGATGGTACATAAGGAAGACGTCAGAGCTGTACTGAAGGCACTGGAAAAAACTGATGGAACACAACCTGAAATGTTTCAACAAATTGATGCAAGCTTGGAGGTGCTCACTCATCTATGCCAAGGAATTTTGAAGACAACTACCTGACCAACTGGAAGAGATTCATATTTGTGCCCATTCCAAAGAAAAGTGATCCAACAAACTGTGGAAATCATTGAGCAATATCATTAATATCACATGCAAGTAAAACGTTGCTGAAGATAACTCAAAAATGGTTTCAACAGTATACACTGATATAGAACTTTCAGAAATTCAGGTCAGATTCAGAAGAGGACGTGGAACTAAGGATACCATTGCTGATGTCCAAAGGATCTTGGCTGAAAGCAGACAATACCAGAAAGATACTTTACTATGCTATGGCACTGGACTGTCTGGATCATGACAAACTTTGGATAACATTGCAAAGAACTGGTATACCAAAACACTTAATTGTGCTCATAATGAACCTATACCTAGACCAAGCGGCATTTGTTGAACATAACAACTGAATGGTTTAATCAGGAAATGTGTATGCCATGGTTGTATTCTTTCATCATACTTACCCAATCTCTATGCTGAGCAAATAATCCTAACTGGATTATATGAAGAACATGGCATCAGAATTGGAAGAGGACTTATTAACAACTTCAGATATGCAGATGACATAACCTTGCTTGCTGGAAGCAAAGAGGACTTCAAATACTTATGATTTCAAAGACTATAGCCTTCAGTATGGATTGTACCTCAATGTAAAGAAAACAAAAATCCTCAAATCTGTACCAATCAATAGCATAATGATAAGGAAGTAAAGAGCTGAACAGGAAATTTCAAAGGGCAGCTCGAGAAGACAAAGTCAAATACTATAATAAAATGTTCAAAGACTTACAGCTAGAAAAACACAAGGGAAAAACAGGCTCAGCATTTCTAAAACTGAAATAACTGATGGAGAAAAACTCAAGCCTTGGTTTGCAATACTGAAGGCAAAATATTGAACTGCTACAACTAGTTTTGAATTATCTTCAGCAAAATTTTACTTGCATGTAATATAAATGGTATTGTTTGATGATTTCTGCAGTCTGTTGGATACCTTTCTTTGAAGTAGGCACAAATACGAATCTCTTCCAATGGGTTGGAGAGCTGACTGTCTTCCAGATTTCTTCGCACAGAAGAAAACACAAAAGACTGAAGTTGTCAAAGACTTCATTTTGCCTAGATTCACAATCAAAGCACATGGAAACAGCAGTCAAGAAACAAAACACTATTAACAGTAGGAAAATCTGCTGCAAAAGACCTCTTTTAAATGTTAAAAGATCAAAGATGTCAATTTGAGGACTAGCTGTGCCTGACCCAAGCCATGGTATTTTCAAACACCTCATATGCATGTGGAAGTTGAACATGAATAAGGAAGACTGGAGAAGAATTAATGCATTTGAATTATGATGTTGGAGAAGAATATTGAAAGTGCCATGAACTGCCAGAACAAATACATCTGTCTTACAAGGAGGACAGCTACAATGCTCCTTAGATGTGAGGATGGGGAGACTTTGTCTCTCATACTTTTGGTATGTCAGGAGGGATCAGTTCCTGAAGAAAGACAACATGCTTGATACGTGTTGTTGTCAAGTGTCATCAAGTTGGCTGTACATTTTTGCAAGAGCAGAAGCCTCATCTTTCTCCTGTGGAGTGGCTAGTGGGCTCGAACCACTGACCTTATGGTTCACAGTCCAGTGCTTATCCTATAGAACCACCACACTCCCCTGGTAAAGCACAGGGTCAGCACAAAAGAAGATCCCACCCTCCCACCACAAGGAGATGGACCAGATATGGTGCCCTAAACATAACAAGTGGAAGTATGGGACAGGACTTAGTTCTGTTAATGCACAGAATTGCTATGAGTCAGAACTGTTTCAATGTCACCTAACAACAACATTACAAAATCACATTTAAGGGATGCAAGCAATGAGAAGTGAGGATGTCTTTGGGGAAGAGGTAGGA